TTAATTTACTTAAAATATTAATTGTATTATTTAGTTAAAGATGACAGATGATCGTCGTTGGATGTATAGACGACGAGGTCCTCGTGGAGATTATGATGGCGAATTCTTTAATGGATTACAACAATTTTTTGATTTCGTATATAGTCATCCCGGTGTCCACCCGAATGTCGAAATTCGCTGCCCCTGTAGTAAATGTGAAAAGTTACCTCACCACAATAGGGCAGTTGTAACAAACCATCTCTTGAGATATGGTTTCATGGATGCATATTCTGTGTGGTGGGCACATGGTGAAACTTTAAGTAACAATGTTGATCCATGGTTTGCCGCAAGTGATGTGGCATCCTCAAGTAATATTGAGGAACATGATAATGCTAAGGATGATTTCCATCACATGGTTTATGATGCATTCTGTCCATCTGAGAATGATCGTCATAGAAATGAAACAAAGTTTGCATCTGAAAATGTTGGAGATGCGCGAAATAATAATGCACAATCTTTTTATGACTTGTTGCGTGCTTCAACCATCCCGCTTGGATCAGCATCTAATAACCAAACATTGCTTGGTTGGTTATCATATATGCTGCACACCAAAGCCAAAAACAACATAAGTGGTGTTGGTTACAATGAGATCATTCATGGCTGTAGGAAATTGTTAAGTCCGGAAGATCAGCAAAAAAGTACCGTCAAATTTTTATGAAGTAAAGAAATTCATGAAAAGCCTAGGTTTAGGCTATGTCAAAATTGATGCATGTGTCCACAACTGCTTTCTGTATTATGGTGATGAGGCTAAGTCACTTACTGCTTGTCTAGTTTATGGTGAACCTAGGTATAAAGACGCAACTCGGCTCAAACTGGAAAAAAGGATAGGCCAAGGAATTCTTTGTGGTATCTACCCATTATTCCATGCCTACAGAGGATGTACATGTCTCGTAAAACTACTGAGCATATGACATGGCACCTTAAATGTCGTATTGACTCAGAGATCCTCATTCATCCAGCTCAGTCTAATGCTTGGAAACACTTTGATGTTGTTCATCCTTCATTTGCAGCTGATTCGTGAAATGTCCGGGTTGGTCTTGCAACAGACAGGTTTAACCCATGGGGTCACTCTTCGAGATCATATTCCTGTTGGCCTGTTTTCATTGTTGTTTACAATCTTCCTCCTGAGATGTGCATGCGACTTGAATTTACATTCCTGACACTTGTTATTTCTGGGCCAAAGAGTCCAGGAAAAAACATTGATGTTTTCTCCCGTCCACTTATTGATGACCTAAAACGGTTATGGTCGTCAGGGATAGAAACATTTGACAGCTTCCATAAACAGAACTTCACAATGCGAGCCATGGTTATGTGGACCATAATGGATTTCCCCGGCTATGGTATGGTTTCTGGATGGAGCACGCATGGCCTTCTGTCTTGTCCATATTGCATGGAAATGACTCGTGCTTTTTACTTGCAAAATGGTCGCAAGATCTCATTCTTTGACTGTCATTGACAGTTTCTTCCTGCATCACACTCGTACAAAATGGATACAACTCATTTCCTTGAGGGCCGCTTTGAATTTGGCCCCCCTCCTCCACGATTAGATGGTCATTCTGTTCGACTTCGAGTTGCCACACTACCTGATGTTTTATTTGGAAATCCATCAGTAAACCAAACTATTTTCGGGTTCGGTGAAACACACAATTGGGTGAAACGGAGTATCTTCTGGGAACTCCCATATTGGGAGGATAACTTGATCAGACACAATCTTGATGTCATGCACAGTGAGAAGAATTTCTTTGACAACATCATACACACAATCATGGATGACTCGTCCTCAAAAGATAATGTTAAGTCAAGAATGGACTTACCATTGTACTGTGATAGGGAAGAACTACACTTGTACTATGACTGTTCTGGGTCGCTTTGCAAGCCAAATGCAAGTTATGCACTTAACACGGATAAAAAAAGATGTCTATGTACGTGGCTCAAACATGTGCGATTTCCAGATGGTTTTGCATCTAACATCGCATGTTGTGTGAACTTAGCTGAGTTACGCTTAGTTAGATTGAAGAGTCACGATTGCAATATATTCATGCAGCGCCTCATTCCAATTGCTTTCCGTGGCTTGTTGTTGGATTCTATATGGGGTCCATTAACAGAAGTAAGTAATTTTTTTCGTGCATTGTGTTCCCCAAATGTCAACATAAAAGACATGGCAGTTTGGGAAACAAAGATAGTTGAAATAATATGTAAGTTGGAAAGAATCTTCCCGCCATCATTTTTTTATTGTATGGAGCACCTAGCAATCCATCTTCCTTTCGAGGCATGGATTGGTGGACCTGTACAATTTCGATGGATGTACCCATTTGAACGGTAATGCAAACAAGTTCACAATAGTTTCATGTACAACAGAATATATAACAATTTGTTATGCTCATAGCTAATTTCAAATTTTACAGACAAATACACAAACTTAAACAAACAATAGGGAACAAGAATCATGTCGAGGCATACATTGTCGAAGCATACATTCTCAATGAAATAACAGATTTTTGCTCCCGATATTTTGGTGTGGATGTTGAAACAAGTTGGAGTAAGCCCCCAAGGAACTTTGTAGCAGTTCCACTTTATAGGAACACAGAATTCTCAATATTTGCATGCCCTGGTCATCTAATGGGTTCACATTCACAGACACGCTGTCTAACTACTCAAGAGATGAAGGCGGCTGAACTTTATGTACTACTAAACTGTAGGGAAGTTGATGCGCTTCTTAGGTGAGATATGACAAACTAAACTCTTTTTTATTAAATTTTTAGAGAAAGCTTGCTGGATTATAACAAGCTAGTTCAACATTCCATTTGTGGTCACACCTAATTGTTTCGATATTTCAGCATCTTTGATCGAGAAGTTGGTGTATATATGACCCTTTCTGATCCACACAAAGCATGCAACAGAAGTTTTGTTACGTGGTTCAAAGATAGGGTAAACAATATTCTTCATCATATTATGTTGTTTCAAATATTATTATATACATATATATAATTAGGTAATATACAATATATTACCTAATTGAGTTTTTAACAAAAATACTATAAATTTGACTAATAACATGAACATATAAATTTGGTAGGTGTTAAATGGCCATCATGAAGGGAATGGGGTTTTGCAATACCTTACACTGGGCCCATCATGGACAGTCAATGTCTACAGAGGTTATTATGTCAATGGTTTTAGATTTATGACACAAAAAGTCAGTAGTGAAAGACAAACATATAACTGTGGTGTATGTGTGAAAGGAACAACCATATCTGATAATGCCGAGACTGATTATTATGGCATCCTTAACGAAGTCATCAAACTATTGTATTATGGACCACATGCACAAATACAGACAATTGTCTTATTCAATTGTGATTGGTTCAATACACGTAGGGGAACACGCATTAACCAAGTTTACGACATTGTTGAGGTCAACCCACAGTATCGACTGTCGACCGGCAAGCCATTTTGCCTTGCGTGTCAATCAACGCAAGTGTATTACACTAGTTACCCATCAGATAATCGAGCAACTAAAGGATGGTTCGCCGCATGCAAAATACGTGCTAGACATTTGATTGACACTTGTTCAACTTCACTTGATATAGAAGAAATATTCCAAGATGAGGAGCCACCATCCACACAATCATTAGAGCATAATTCCAATTTGGCATCCACAGAATGTGTGGATTTGCATACAGAAGGAGCAACAATGGTTGACTTAAATGGAAATGCAAATGATGATGTTGATGAAAATGCAAGTGAAGGAAATGATGGATATGAAACAAGAAGCGATGCTGGTGGCGATAGTAGCAAGACTGAATAGTCATTAAATAATTGAAAGTCATGTAAAATAATAGTTTTAAAATTTGGTTGTCATTAAAAAAAAAAAAAGTCTTGTGTACGAGACTTCTTAGTTAACAAATATACTTATGAATGACTAATGACTGTTTCTTCATTGTTTGTTTCATTGACATTATTTATGATGTTGTAAATGCTTATAAAAAGAAAATTTATAAACTAGACATGTATTTATTTGGTGACATTAGTACATACCTTCTTTATGTGACCATATGTTTTGCAGGATGTCAGGCAGGCCCATTAACTCCGCGCGAAGTCGCACCACATCAAGGAGACGAGGACATCACGACGCTGTAGATCTTGCACATGATGTTACCCCAATAATGAACGCGAGGCATACTCAATCTATTAGTCCACAGGGTTCTGTTCATGTAGCAGCCGCATCCTTTAGCCAGAAGCAAAAGGGAAGAGGTCCAAACAAACTGAAAAAGGCTGCAAGAAGACCATATGAGAGACCATTTATACAAATTTCGCATAAAGGAACATTCTTGGATGTTGAAGTCCCTAGATTGATTACGACCCTATGGAAAAGGGTTTATGATGGTGATTACTTCACGTATGAGTTGTTCCCAGAACACAAAAAGGTGCAAGTGTGGGAGTTGTTTAAGGTAAGAATAATTATCATTTCATCAGATATGTATTGTATGATTACTGATAACATTACAACATATATGATGAAGAAAAAATCAATATTGTTGGTGCATTGGTCGATACAGGTAATTTAATGGTATGAGTACTGCATACACCTTAAAAACAAGAAAAAAATGAATAAAAAAAAATCATCATATGATATTGGTAAAACAATATGGTATCACAACAATCATCATATGACACAAAAATCCTTATAATTTTGAGTTTAGTAATAAAGTATTAAAAGTTTTGATTTGTTTCGATTAGCTCTTTCGTATGGACAGAATAGTAATTAACTATATACGAAAAATGGGATATGGTGTATATATTGTGTTATTATATTATATGTTCTTAAGTTACTTGGAAATAATTTGTTTATATGTGGTGATAGACACATTATCAATGGGCTATAGAGGATGAGGATGCGGTCCGAAAGGCGTTCTTAAGATCAATGAAGAAAGGATGGGACGATAATATGAAGGATGAGTGGGATAAGTGGCATACAAATGGTGAGTATAGGTCGGTATGGGTGCTCGAGCACCTATGGCCTATATTATGCACTTATTGGGATTCTGATGAGTTTCACATTCTTAGCGAGAGGGGAAGAAAAACCGAGCATCTGGGGAGCGAGTTTCACACACTACATGATCAGTGAGTTTTGATGTACATGAAGAACGGATGGTAAGTAAGAAAAGAAAGAAAAGTGTATATATATATAATAGATAATGAACACAATATATACTACTTTTTTGTATGATTATCGATTAACTATAAATATAAATAACTTGCTATTTGTCGTAATGTGGTTGTGACACACAGACCAAAGCTGTTGGGGGGATAAGGCTAGCACACCAAGACCTATATAAGGAAACACACACTTTGCGAAAAGGTGTCCCCCAAGGGCAGGAAGCTCCATGGTGTGGCAACAAACATAAGGATCGTCACGTAAGTGCAAACACACTGGATAAAAAGTTTTCTATGAGTGACATATATTGTTGGAAAAAGTGAATAAAAGGTATATTAATAAAGTTAGTGGTGTTAAGTACAATATAACAAAAATTTTGCATGAGTAAGTATTAGTATGTGTAGGTGTTCATGAAACAAATGTGCTTGGGTATTGCTTGTTGCTCCATGATTGCTACTTTGTTATCACTAGTTCGTAAATAATAATGGTTACATTTTTCGACATTTTTATGTGTATACTGTGGCAAAAATTTGCAGTCATATATTGTAGGTTTTTTTTGCATTACTTTTGTAGGATACGTATGTCAGTGAGTGCTCTGCTATTTATGGCTCGGACTCAGCATCATGGCCACCATGAGACAATGACCTTTGGGCAGTTGCTGTTGGTGTATGCCATAACAATTTCATGCCGGGAATTGGTTCATAGGTAAACCCAGAGGAACTTGGGTTTACATATAGAAAGCGACAACCAAAGGGGAATTCATATATGAGCTTGATGTTATCAGACATGGCCAAAAAACAAGCGAAAGATAGGGAGGCAATGCAAATGATGCGAGATGAAATAGGGCAAGTCAAAGAGCAACGAGAAGCAATGCAACGGATGATGGACGAAATTGGGAGAATGTAGGCTTCTCTATCGCAGCAATTCACTACTTTTAGTGCGTATGGGATGCGCCCGCCTAGAGCTACCCCATCGTTGCCTCACACCAAGCAAGCATTTCCTCCTGTAGGGACATCATTCCCTACTGTTGGGCCATCGTTTCATGCTAATGGGCCATCATTTCCTCATGCAATGCCAATGCAACTCCCGATAGAACCTGCATTCCCAATGGGCCAAATGGGGAAACAGTCAGAAGCTCCAAATACATCTTCACCCAATCCCCCGCAAGATGAGTTTGGTTATCAGCCGAGATTTGATGCAGATTACCAGGGTCCTTTTGGGCCCGAATGATCAGTGTGCATGAGGTTGCGAACTCAAAACATGGCATGTTCTTGCTACTTGAGGAAAATACTTTTATTTTTTGGATGGACGATTTGAACTTGTTAGGACATGAGTGTATATGTCAGTTGGAATTGAATGGTTTGTGGTAATATTAACTGAATTATTGTGACTTGCAAGTTTAGAATATGCAAATGGTCATGCTAAATGTTGCATGTGGTACTTATATACTTATCTTTTAATTTATGATTATGACATGAGAAATTATATAAGTAGTACACATTCGTAATAATGTGATAAATCCAAAAATTATGATATAATAAATGACAATATATGTAATGTGCTATGGTAAAATCAAAGTGCAATAAGAAAAAGTATAAAAGTTGGGGCATGTTAAAGAGGTTCGAGCATTTGCTGCATGTTAGAGTCGACCATATACATCAAGACTTGACTGTCAAGCCTTCAAAAGTCGACTATGTGGGAGCAACATTCGACTCCAAAATTCCAGAGAGGTTGGAGCACCATGTCGCAGGTTAGAGTCGACTCTATACATGAAGAGTCGACTCTAAAGCCTCAAAGAGTCGACTATATATGACCAACATTCAACTCCCAAATTTGAGAGAGGTTTAAGCATCTGCTGCAGGTTAGAGTCGACTCTACATATCAAGAGTCAACTATAAAGCCTCAAAGAGTCGACTATATATGACCAACATTCGACTCCCAAATTCCAGAGAGGGTTGAACATCCTGCTGCAGGTTAGAGTCGACTCTATACATGAAGAGTCGACTCTAAATCCCCAAAGAGTCGACTATAAATAAGCAACATTCGACTCCCAAATTCCAGAGAGCAGGGGAAGTTCCCCGTGGTGCGTATAGTCGACTGTGTTCTTTATAGAGTCGACTCTTAAACCATAAGAGTCGACTTTAATATTAAAAGTCGACTAAAGGTAAAAAATTACAACTTTATATGAAATATCTATGTAACCTGACATATATATGTTAACACATATTTTTAGATAAATTAGTGTTTTAAATTATATATATTAATAAAAAATATAATTATATTAATTAATTTATTATTA